TCCAAAGAGCAGTCAGGGTTCCCTGCCCTGTGGAAAGTCCAAGGTCCTCCCCCCTCCGTCCATGTCCAGGAAGGTGAACGTCCAAACTGGCTAGGCTCCCACCAAGCCGGAACATGAAGTAGGATCAAAACCCCTTGGCTTCTCATCAGCCCTCATTGTTCGCCTTGATCAGAGAGTCCGGTTTAATCCCATGCTTTTTCAGTCACAGTCCAGCTGGCCTTGGTGAGCTTCCAATAGATCACCCCCCACGTGCACCCCTCGTGGTCCTGACATCCTTGCTCGTGTTCTCCCTCCATCCGCTCCTCATTGGGACCTTGGGAGCTCAGTCCAGTCTTCATTGTTTTTTACAAAATTATAAACTTTATTATAAAAACAAGCTTTCTAAATAGAATAAACATCATACATTAAAATTAGCCAGACCCAAAGTCTAACATCTCAGCGACTTCTATACAGTTAGAGTAGCTATTCTGCAGCTGTGGAATTTCATATTGGATTCTACACTTTCTCTATAGAATATATTTTTCTGCTCTCAGCAACCACCAAAAATGAAAAAAAAAAAATCCAACTCAAATTAGAATCAGAAAAAAAACCCAACCTAGTTTTATATCCCCTTTCATAACTCATGTCCGTTCAGGTCTTTCTGCTCCCCGATATGTAGCCTTTCTTGTTCTTCTTTCTATGTCCTATTTACACTGTGCCGTATGTATGTACAGCGGTTTGCATCTGAGGTATATTACTGACTAGATCCTGCATATGAGGGAAAACATGGGCCTTTCCTTTCTGAGATTGTGTGACTTTGCTTACTATTATATATTTAAGTCTACCCATTTTCCTGAAAATTTGGTAATTTCGAGTTTGGGGGGAAAGGTTTCGAGACAGGATTTCTCTGTATATTCCTGGCTGTCTTGGAACTTGCTCTATAGACCAAGCTGGCTTCGAACTCAAGAGATCCGCCTGCCCCTGCCTCCAGGGGGCTATGATAAAAGACGTGCGCCACCACCGCCCGGCTCCTTTTACTTTTTCTATGTCCTCAACAAGATTTTTCAACTTTTTGCAGATTTTTTTTTTGCATTTTTCATAATGAAATGCAAAGCAGAAATTGAAAACCTGTGGGATAAATGTAAACATAGTTTTGTGAACAATTTGTTTTAGCTTATACATCTGTATATACAATGTAAAATATTTGTGCGGTAGGTCAGGACTTAAAAATAAGAAGTTTGAGGGTTGGAGAGAAGATGGCACAATGTCTAAGAAAGCATTTCTCTCTCTGTGTTATACCTGTTATTTTTGAGAAAGGGTCTCTCCACATAGTCCTAGTTGTCCTGGAACTCACTATGTAGACTGGACCAGCCTCCAATTCACAGAAATCCTCCTGAGTGCTGGGATTATATGCCTGTGCCACAACTCCAGACAGAGTCCACTTCACTTAAATTGAGTTGTTCCCAGCTTGTAACTCCAGCATCAGGGGATCTGCGGCCCTCTTCTGACCTCCATGGGTATTGCATTTACATGCACAAACCTACAGTTAAGTTTAAAATTAAACACACTTAAAATTAAAATCTTCAAAAATAGTTCGGGGCCTGGCAGTGGTGGCGCACGCCTTTAGTCCCAGCATTCGGGCGGATTTCTGTGAGTTCGAGGCCGGCCTGGTCTACAAAACAAGTTCCAGAAGAGCCAATAAACGGGTAGAGAATCCTCAACGCTGACATCGGTGGCTGGCCCGGGACACATCAAGAACAGAAAATGTACATAAAGCGGCCCAGGGGAGCGCACCCTGAGAACCCAAGGATAGACGGGGGCTTCCAGAAGTCCCGACTGCAGCCAGCGAGCGACTTCTCAGGTCTCCAGCGCCCGCGGCTGTGAGGAGGCGGGCCCAGAAGCGGAGCACGCGCAGTAGAAGGCCCCGCCCCGCGCAGAGAGGCTGCGCCTTCAGCGGTCACGCCGCCGGTCACTGCGAACTGTCCCCGCCCCCTCCGCTGCCACCCGCGACTGCGCGCGCAGAGGCTCTGAGGGCGCCTGCGGGAAGGGACGCGGCGGGTAAGCGGGGCCTGCGTCCGGTGTGTGTTTCTCACGGGTTTGGGAGCGTCCTCGTGTCCGGCTCCCTGACAGGGAAGATGCCAGTGACTGGTGCTTTGGAACGCACTTTTCCTCGGCTTTTCTCCTGCCACCGCCGGAGGCCCTCTGACCGCCCAAGTGATGTCGCCGTCGCCGCAGCGTTCTCTGCTCTCCCCACCCCCACTGGGAAACCCAAAGCCGGCCCGGTCCCTGATTGCCTGCCGGCTTTGTGGCCCGAGTTCCTTACTTGCCTGCGCCGTCGATAGCATCGAGTTGATTTTCTGCCTTTAGTGTCGATCAGCTGCGGGAGAAAGCTAGCTACAGCCTCCCACTCAGTCACCGCAAAGAGTCATCAGTTTTGATGCTCAGCTGGAGTTCTGGCCTCCTTACTGAATCAACTTTCAGATGCTGTTGAGAGGGAAATCGAGGCCACCAAAACATAAGTCCTCTTTGGTTACCCTGATCGTGGCCTGTCCATCGTTGGCTAATAAACGGCTTTTCAAGTTGGACCTGTTGAGACATAGGCCTTAGATTCCCTAGGCACTCTCTCAGAACTATGCCTTTCCTGTTATGGACAATCATTTCCCTGCTACATTTTGGGATGAGGCACTTCACTGGCAGTGGGATGGAATCAGCATTTACTCAGGAGGGTGGCCGCAAACATTCGGCTCTACTGCCAGAGTGATATTTAGTAAACTGTTTCTTGTAACAGGAGCTATTTTGACTTAGTGGCTGTGTTTTGATACCTTCAGTAAGAGAGAAACATAGGAAACCTGGCATCACGCCTCAGGGGTTCAAAATCTTCTACCAGGGGGGAAAAAAAAAAAAAAAGCACAAACAAGCCTGATAGCCAAACTATGTTTAGTAACATCTACAGGTCGAATTTCTTTTTCTTTTTGGTTTTTCGAGACAGGGTTTTTCTGTAGCTTTAGAGCCTTGAATTCACAGAGATCCATACAGGTCGAATTTCTACGTGGAGGGAAATAGAATTGCTTGTACGATGTTGGCATCGTGGACATGCTGAAGTGAAATTTTAGTGACTCCCTTCAAGCCTTTCAAAGTTTCTGGATAGCCATGAGTATCAGTTTTATTTTTATTAAGACAAAGTCTCACTAGTCTTGGCTGGCCTGGAACTAAGATCTGCCGGCCTCTGCACCACACCCAGCCCCAGCCTGTTTTTACTGATAATTTTGACAAGAGTTCTATATTGTGAACTAGTTTTTCGTTTGCTTTATTCTGTGTCAGTGGTGTTTTGCCTACAGGTATGTCTGTGTGAGGGTGTCAGAAGCCCTGGAACTGGAGTTACAGACAGTTGTGAGCTGCCATGTGGTTACTGGGAATTGAACCCAGGTCCTCTGGAAAAGCAGCCAGTGCTTTCAGCCTCTGAGCATCTCTCCAGCCCCATGAACAATTTTTTTAAATGCTAGCTTACAACAGTTCTGTTAATTTTATTACTAATTTTTCTTCATGCCAAAGTTCAAGACCTTGATCACCTTAAACAGTTCTTCTGCTATATCTGCCCATCTTATGTTGTAAGAATTCATGATTTATTCAGTAACTTAAATTTATCCCTTTGATTCTCGTTGCAGTCTATAATGTTGCTTATCTGCAATTTTTGTTGGTGACATAAAAAATAAGAAGCCGGGCAGTGGTGGCGCACGCCTTTAATTCCAGCACTCGGGAGGCAGAGGCAGGTGGATCTCTTGTGAGTTCGAGACCAGCCTGGTCTACAAGAGCTAGTTTCAGGACAGGCTCCAAAACCACAGAGAAACCCTGTCTCGAAAAACCAAAATAATAATAATAATAATAGAATTGGATTTTTGTTATCTCCTACTTCACGCCTACTTGAAGAACCCAAGAGTTCCGAAATGACTATTGACATGTTTATTTTGTTAAACCTATAAAGATTTAGGTTCAAGTTTCTGTACTTGGGTTCCATTCTCTACAACTTGGTCTGATAATTTCTATGCAGTATGATATGGTAGGAACAACCCTAGGCTTAGACTAAATAAACATGAGACTGCCGATATACTGATGCTGAGGAAAGTCTGATAGTTTCCTTTTCTGTGACCTCAGAGATTATCTTTTTCTTTTCATCTCTTAGATATCATAATAATTACAATTGAGGATAAGGTATGGTGGCATAGACCTTTACTCCCAGCACTCAGAAGGCAGAAGCAGATGGATTGTTTTGAGTTTGAGGGTAGTCTACATAGTAAGTTCCAGTCTGGCCAAGGCTATATGGTGAGACCCTGTCTTAAAGAAACAGAACCAAAACTACAGTTGCCATAATTTGTGCAGAAGCTAACAATTGAGTCACATATCACAGCACATGCCTGCAATCCCAGCACTAGGGTGTCAGGGAAGGAGGGTCATTACAAGTTTGAGACCCTTGTCTCACAAAACAAAAACCCAAGCCTTTTTTTTTTTTATTTCACAAACATTTGAAATGCTGATATATGTTGGAGACTGATCCTATAGCGATAGAAGCCAGTTCCTGTCCTGAAGGGACAATCTTTCAAGAAATTGGTGTATTTGTGAATGTGTGTAAGTCGGGATTAAGATGGCAGGGATATCTAACAAGGTTGAGTGTAATATAAGCTATAACATAGGTAGGTTAGGATGATCACCAAGTCTAAAGGACAGAAACAGAAAAATGTTGTCTGGAAAAGTTATATTTGAACAGTCTTGGGTTATAACCAGGATCCCCAAAGGCTTTCTATGTTGAGGGAAGCATGCAGACTGAAAGATTTTAAGCAGACATGTGGGCTGGTCACAGTTGATTTTTAGAAGTTCATCCTGCCTAGGATGTCTACTTCCTGACTGTCGTGATAAAAGTTTTGCCTTTGCACCTTCCTTTCTTTACCCAAGGAGGGGTTTATGACTGTTCTTCATACCTTACTTCTATTTATCTTTTAGTGCCCAATTTAGTGCTTCTTTCTTCTGTGAAGCGTCCTTTGGTGTACACATTCCATTACCAAAAAGCATCTTAGAAGTCATACCATACGGTATAGCTCTTATTTGTTTGGTATGTGTTTTACGATCCTAATTAAATGATAGAGAATGTTTCATCTATATGGGAATAGAAAATATATTAACCAAAAGATATGTTTGATCTTTGTGTTTTATTTCTCAGGGTAGAAGCAAATAATGGGCAAGAGTCTCTTTAATTAACTTGTGGTCACCATGTCTAAGGACGAGTGTGCCAAGGCTGGCGATAGCTCATTTTCCTCTGATAAACATGCCCAGCTCATCTTGGCCCAAATCAACAAAATGAGAAATGGCCAGCGTTTCTGTGATGTACAGTTGCAGGTCGGGAAGGAAACCTTTCACGTTCACCGGCTGGTTCTGGCTGCGAGCAGTCCATACTTCGCAGCTTTGTTCGCTGGAGGAATGAAAGAGTCCTCAAGAGACGTTGTACAGATTCTAGGAGTTGAAGCTGGAATCTTTCAGTTACTTCTAGACTTCATTTACACAGGTATATCTATGAAGCACTTTCCTCTTGCTGTGATGAAATACCATGACCAAAGTAACTTGTAGACATTTCTTTATTTGTAAATATTGTTTTTGTTTTTGGTGTTCAAGACAGGGTTTCTTTGTATAGCCCTGGCTGCCCTGGAACTCATTTTGTAGATCAGTCAGTCTGTCCTCAAACTCACCCAAATCTGCCTGTTGCTACCTCCTGGGTGCTGGGATTAAAGGTGTGCACCACCACCACCCAGCTTAAAGTGTATTTACTTTTATTTATTTTTTTAAATATTTATTTATTTATTATGTATACAATATTCTGTCTATGTGTATGCCTGCAGGCCAGAAGAGGGCACCAGACCCCATTATAGATGGTTGTGAGCCACCATGTGGTTGCTGGGAATTGAACTCAGGACCTTTGGGAAGAGCAGGCAGTGCTCTTAACCACTGAGCCATCTCTCCAGCCCTTTACTTTTATTTTATGTGACTGTTTTGCCTACCTGTGTGTAAGTGAACCACTTGCATGGAGTTATCTGTGTGAAGATCAGAAGAGGGCATTGGATCTCCTAGAATTGGAATTACACTGTGTGTGCTGGGAAGACGTGTCCTCAGGAAGTGCAGGAGCATTTAACTTTTGAGTCATCTCTCCAGCCCTTAATTACTTTTATAGTTAGAAAAAAATGGAAACAATTACTTTATTTGTTCTAGTTTTGAGAATATACTAGTTCTCTTTAAGAAATTATGTAGAAGGCTCAAGTGAGATGGCTCAGTGGGTAAAGGTGCTTGCTACCTTACTATCAAGCCTCTTGACCTGAGTTCAGTCTTAAACACACACACACACACAAACACACACACACACACACACACACACACACACACACGGAAGAGGTGAAGGATAATTTAAAAAAATTAAAAAAGAAACTACTTGGGAGAAATATTTACATGACCCAATAAAGTGTTTTGGGTTTTTTTTATCAATACTTTATTTATTTATTTATTTATTTATTTATTTATTTATTTATTTATTTATTTATTATACAATATTCTGTATGCATGTATGTCTGCAGGCCAGAAGAGGGCACCAGACCATCGGACCTTTGGAAGAGCAAGCAATGCTCTTAACCACTGAGCCATCTCTCCAGCCCCAAGTGTTTTGGTTTTTAAGTGCATGGTATTTGAGGCTGGAAATGGCTCTGTGGTTCGGAATACTGACTCTTCTTTCAGAGGATCCAGGTTTGGTTCCCAGCACCCACTGTAGTTCTAGCTCCTGTATGTTCATGGTGTAAAACATATACTAACACACATATACATAAAATAAACATTTTTAAATGCACACTATTTATATTTGAGAAAATACAAAATTATGCCTGGTGGTGGTGGCGCACGCCTTTAATCTCAGCACTCAGAAGGCAGAGGCAGGCGGATCTCTGTGAGTTCGAGGCCAGCCTGGTCTACAAGAGCTGTTCCAGGACAGGAACCAAAAGGTATGGAGAAACCCTGTCTCGAAAATCAAAAAATATATATTTTTTTTCTTGGAAATTTTCAGAAATCAGTAATAAAATTTATTCTGCAGCCATTATGTGTGTGTCTCCCCCTGCTAATCATATGATCCTATACTTTTAAATCTCAATTTGTATTCATTATTTTTCCTGTTACTTTAATCACTGGCTTTTTACTCATAAATAACTTTTTGAGCATCTGGTTTGATTAGATCATTGGGCATAGAGAAGGCAAGTCATGCCTACACAAACTTTAATATATATAATCTCCCTCCTGCCCAAGACAGGGTTTCTCTGTGTAACAGCCTAGCTGTACTGAAACTTGATTTGTAGACCAGGATGGCCTCCCAAGTGCTGGGACATATAGTTCAATGCAGTGACTGTTATAAAAGGGATAAGTTCCTCTTTTGGGAGTTCACATAAATATTCTGTGGGAGTGGTCCTGGAGGGTCAGGACCTGGCATGCTGGTATTTGGAGTCCAGACCAAAGCAACTCCCAGGTCAGGTAGGCTGGGACAGATGCTAGGGGCTGGGGACTATGCCCCCAACTTAACATGGAGTCTTTAGGGGAAGAAATCCAAATATTTAGTAGCTTCTCATGTGTTATAGAGTCTTTATTATGCCTTATATTTAAAAACTTAACATTGTATGACATTTTATCATAAGTGAGTATAGTAAACCTGCTTTCTTCCCTCTCCGCAGTACCTCAATAAATTTGTTAATTGCATATAATCTGTGTTGAAAGTATGAATTTTACCTGGATGTAGCGTGAACTTTTTTAATCCCAGCACCCTGGGTGCAGAGAAAAGATTGGAAGTTGGAAGCCAGTTTGCTCCATATAGTGAGACTTAGTCTCAGCAAACAAACAAAGGATTGGTTTTAATGTCAGTCATATCTGCTTAGTCATATACTTTTTTCAAAAAATTTTTGAAGAGTTATTCATTTTTCTGTTCTGTGTATGCGTTTTTCCTGCATGTATGTGTGCGCATCACATGTATGCAGTACCTTTAGTAGCCAGACAGGGATTTGGCTGTGGGAACTGGAGTTACAGGTCACCGTGAGTTGTCTTGTAGTTGCTAGGAACCGAACCCTGAGTCCTCTACAAGACCAGCAAATGCTCTTCTGCTTAGCCACCTCTCCAGCCTTTCTGTCATACAATTTGCAGAAGAGCGATTTAAACTTCCTAAGTCTGTTTACTTAATCCAATAATAAAATTTATGTCTACTAGCTAGGATTACAGTGAAGGTTAAATGAATATAAAGCGACTAAAACTGTGAATGGTTTAGTATAGTTGTTCCATAAATATTGTTGGATTGTGTTTTGTTTTGTTTGATATGGGGTCTCATTTTGTAACACTGACTGTCCTAGAACTCACTTTGTAGTATCAAGCTGGCCTTGAACTCACTGAGATCCTGTCTCTGCCTCTCAAGTGCTGGTAGAATAAAGACATGAACTACCACACTGACCTAGTTGTTCCATGAATGTTAAATATCATTGGCATTTAAATTTTGTATTTTTCTCATATATCCTGTTTATTTAATTTCTACTCTGTGAAAATTAAACTATTATTGAAGTGAAGTAAAATATTAAGCCAAATGTTTGTTTTGACTTATTGACTGTTTTATCTTCCTATTTCCTTAGGACTAGTGAACATAGCTGTGAATAATGTTCAGGAGTTGATTGTTGCAGCAGACATGCTACAGTTGACTGAAGTTGTCAATCTTTGCTGTGACTTTCTAAAAGGACAAATTGATCCACAGAACTGCATTGGACTCTTCCAGTTCTCTGAGCAAATTGCCTGCCATGATCTTTTGGAATTTACAGAAAACTATATTCATGTCCATTTCTTGGAGGTTCATAGTGGAGAAGAGTTCCTGGCACTTACGAAAGATCAGCTAATCAAAATTTTACGAAGTGAGGAACTTAGTATTGAAGATGAATACCAAGTCTTCTTAGCTGCAATGCAGTGGATTCTGAAAGACCTGGGAAAGAGAAGAAAACATGTGGTAGAAGTGTTAGATCCAATTCGATTCCCTTTATTACCATCTCAGAGGCTTTTAAAGTACATAGAAGGTAACTCTTTTACTATATGTAAGATTCGTTGATTTCTAAAATTTTCTTTGTGTGTGTGTGTGTTTAAGACAGGGTTTCTCTGTGTAGCCTTGATTGTAAACCAGATTGGCCTCAAGCTCATGGAGATCTGCTTGTCTCTGCCTTGAAAATGCTGGAATTCAAGGTGTGTGCCACCACCACCTGGCTTTTTTTTATTTTTTTTTTTTTTTGGGTTTTTCGAGACAGGGTTTCTCTGTAGCTTTGGAGCCTGTCCTGGAACTAGCTCATGTAGACCAGGCTGGTCTCGAACTCACAGAGATCCGCCTGCCTCTGCCTCCCAAGTGCTGGGATTAAAGGCGTGAGCCACCACCATCTGGCTTCTTTTCTTTTTTTTATATGTTTGTTTAATTTTTGTTTTTTTTTTTTTGTTTGTTTCTGTTGTTTGGTTTCTTCAAGACAGGATTTCTCTATATCTTTGGAACCTTTCCTGGAACTAGCTCTATAGACACAGAGATCCCCTGCCTCTGCCTTCCGAGTGCTGGGATTAAAGGCTTGTGCCACCACTGCCCAGCATTCTTTGCTTAATAATTGAAGAGGCAGAATGACCACCCTCACACTGCTGCCACTATGCCTCAGTGCCACGCCACTCTGCACCCTCAAATTGTGAGCCAAAATAAATCCTTCCTTCCTTAAAAGAAGTTTCCTATTATAATTTTAAAATATTCACCAAAACTTAGTATCTGTAGCTACAGAGGTTAGTGATGAGGCTGGGGCTCCCTAGAGAGCTGGTTCAGTGGTTAAGAGCAGATTTGATTCCCAGAACACAAATGGTGTGACTCACAACATCTGTAACTCTAGTTCCAGAGAATCTCATCTGGCATCCTTGGGCACCAGGTATGTAAGTGGTGCACAGATATATACGCAGGAAAAGAATCCGTGCATATTAAATACATACATACATACATACATACATACATACATACATACATACTACATAAAAATATATAATCTTGTGTGGTATCACAGGCCTGTGGCACACCCACTCACCCCATGCCCTCCTCTTGGGAAGCTGAGAGATTGTGTTTGAGGCCAGATTGTGTTGAGAGATTTGGTTTACATAGCAAGTTCCAGCCTAACTTGGGCTATCTGGCAAGTTCGTGACTCCAATAAATAAATGAATAAAATTAATTAATTAATAGATAATACATCAACAAAGAAGCCATCCTTTTATATACCACAAACAAAATCAAAACTTGATACATGGCTGCAAGTCCTATAGCTATAACTTGAGGTTTGTTTGATTTCTTTTGTTGTTCTTTTGTTGTTGTTTTCTCAAAACAGCGTCTCATTATGTAACCCTGGCTGTCCTGGAACTCACTCTGTAGACCAGGCTGGCCTCTAACTCACAGAGATCTGCCTGCCTCTGCCTCCTGAGTGCTGGGATTAAAGGTCTGCCCCACCACCACCCGGCTTAACTTGAGTTTTATATTGATATTGTATTATGACTTTTGTGTAAACTTTGAATCATTTTCAGGTTGTATTTTCTTCTTTGTTTTTTAGTTGTTGGGGATTTTTCATTTTAATGTGTAGTCTAGGCTGGCTGAAACTCCCAATTTTCCTGGTGGGGTTTCTGGTTCTGAAGTACAGGAGTAGAAAGGTAACACACACACACATGATTAAAAATGAAATAAATCTTTAAAAACTGCAATAACTTAACAGCTGGTCTTTGACTGTAGTTCAGTGATGGAGTATATGGAAAAGCAAGGGTTCAGTCCATAGTACAGCAAAGATCACCACCTAATGATAGAGTCAGTCACACATGGATAACCAGTTTGACACCTAGCACTTGGGCTGACACAGGATTGCCATTTGAGGTCAGACTGAATGACATAGCAAGTTACAGTCTGGAATGGGATATAATGCAAGACTGTCTTAAAACAATAACAACACTTTAGGTTTGGCACATACTTTTAATTTCAGCTCTCGGGAGGCAGAGGTAGATGGATCATTGGAGGCCAGTCCAGACTACAGAGCGAGTTCTAGGACAGCCAGGGCAACACAGAGAAATCCTGTCTCGAAAAACAAACAAACAAAAATTATAGTTTTAATTTTAAACAATAACAACTCTCTGCTAAGAAAAATTGGGCACTTAGCATTTTTTTCTTTCCATCTATTTTTCTGTCAAGGCGCTCAAGGTTTATAGGCATCATTTATTTTTATGTTTGCAATCCTGAGTCCCTTGGCTCTTTGCCTTTATCTCTTTATTCAGATGATTTTGATGATGACCATTATCAGTTATGGTTTGTGTGTTTAAGACAGGATCACATGGAGCTCATGTTGGTCATTAACTCAATATATAGTGAAGAATGATCTCACACTCTGTTCCTCCTGACTCCATCTCTTAGGTGCTGGATTACAGGCACAGAACACCATATTCAGCTTCTAGTATGGTATTTCCATTACCATATTTTCCTTTTTTATTCATTGTTTGGGTTGGCCAGATTAAACATTACTTTTTATCATTTAAATTTTTGTGTATGGGTATTTTGTCTGTGTAGCATGTGTATGCCTGGTGCCTAAGGAGGCAAAAAGAGGAGGGGTCAGATTCTCTGAAACTGGAGTTACAGATGAGCCCCACTCTGGGCTCTAAGAACTGAACTTAGTCTTCTGCAAAAACTTTAAGTGTTCTTAACTGTTGAGCTCCATAGGTTGGCTGGACTTTCTTATATGTTTTACTTTGTCTTTTGATCGAATTTTATCACGTACTTCTTTCTTTTGTTTTAGCTTGTTTTTTTGAGATAGGGTCTTTCTATGGAACTTTGATTGTCCTGGAATTTTCTTTGTAGACCAGGCTGGCCTCTAACTCACAGAGATCCACCTGCCTCAGCCTCCTGAACGCTTGAATTAAAAGCATACACCACTACACCTTTTTTTTTCTAGAAGAACATGGTTGGTTTTTTGTTTCAAGACAGGGTTTTTCTGTATAGCATCAGAGCCTATCCTGGAACTTGTGCTGTAGGTCAGGCTGGCCTCAAACTCCAAGATCTGCCTACCTCTGCCTCCCAAGTGCTAGGATTAAGGGTGTGTGCCACCACTGCCTGGCAAACATGACTTTTTTAGTTCCTGAATCCTTTCCATTTGAAAATTCCTGGGTGTTGCTTCTTAAAATTAAATTTAGGTTAGTATAATATTACTTAGTTATGATGATATTTCTGTTCTTCTTGAATTTGGTAAGGCATAGGTTTTTTGGGGGGCGGATTATGTTATTTTGTAGGGTTGGCCTTGGGTTATGAGAACGCACGTGAAGGTCAGAGGACAACTTGTAGGTGTGGATTCTTTTCTTCTACCTTGTGGGTCTCAAGGATTGAACTTGGGTTCTTCAGACTTGGTGGTAAATGCTGTGACGCACTCAGCCTTCTCGCCAACCTGTAAGACAGTTTGTTTTTGTTTTCAATGATTTTTTTTTCTGGTTGAATGCCTTAAGAATTCTTGCACTGTTCTTGCTGTTATTATTGTTGTTTTGTTTTGAACTTTGTTGTTTTTTATTAGATTCTACCATATTTTCTTTCTTTTTTAAAGTTCTTGTGAGTGTGGGGGTGCATTGTGTAACCCCAGTACACAGATGGCAAAGACAGAACAATCAACTGCCAATTTGAGGCCAGTCTAGACTACTTAGTGAGTTCTAGCCAGCCTGGACTAAGAAGTATGGTCCTGCCTCAAACAGAAACTTCTTCAAAAACAAACAAAATAAGTTTAATTTTCCTTCACTTTGGGGAAGTATTTTGTGTGCAATTTCTTAATACTTTTAAATATCATTTGGGAGTCATCTTTTTTGAACCTGCCTCACGTGTGGGTGTGTGTGGGTATGTGTGGGTGTGTGTGGGTGCCACCATGCCCAGCTAATCAATGAAAAGTTTGGGGGGTGCCGGGCGGTGGTGGCACACGCCTTTAATCCCAGCACTAGGGAGGCAGAGGCAGGTGGATCTCTGTGAGTTTGAGACCAGCCTGGTCTACAAGAGCTAGTTCCAGGACAGGCTCCAAAGCTACAGAGAAACTCTGTCTCAAAAAACCAAAA